GGTGGACAAGACAGGTGGCGACTGACCTACGCTCTGTATCTACAGGTGAAGCCGTGCAGTCCCAAACAGGCCTTGGTGGCCCTGCAGAGGCGCCCAGGCTGCAGCAGGCGACAAGTCACGGGGCCACCTGGTTCTGCCTTTAGCCTGAACCCTACACCTGCAGAGTCCAACCGGAGCCCCTTGCTCAGACTCCAGGCAGCCTGCTGGCTGTGACCTGGATCCCCAGACAGGCGCGAGACACCAGGGTCTGCAGTCCTGTGACAGCGTCTCATGGTTGTCTGCCCACACGGCTCCCCTTAGAGTCTCGGTGCTGGCTGCGGCTCCATGGCGCTCTGCTCACTGCCGTGCATGCGCTGCTGTGCCGGGCCCTCCTCCGTCCCAGGAGAGCCTTCGCTGCCCTGAGCTGGTTGCCACTGTGACCGTGAGCTTCCGTCTTGACTCCACAGGCCAGTCCCCAGGCCTCTTGGGCGGAGACTGCCCAGTGTTAGCAAAATGTCATTTGCCAACTCTTCAAAGTGGGAGAATCCACATCCAGGCTTCTCAGCTTCTTTTCCATCTTGTTCGTGCAGCTGCACGGGACCCGGGTTCCTGAGACACAGCAACGGCAGGCTGAACCATGGCCACCCCTGGCCCGGCTCTCAGCCCGGCTCAGGGTCTCTGCGCTCACCGCCTTAGAAGACATGGCCTAAACCGCTGCTGCCGCCTCTCAGTCCTCACACATCCGAGGCCTCGTCCCAGTGCAGCCTTGGTCCCTATGCCACGACCCAGCAGGAGGGCCAGGCTGGCAGCAGGCTGGGGTTGTGGCCTCGTTCTCTGGCTCCTCAGTATTGTCCCTTCAGCCACTCCTGGGGCCCAACAGAAGGGCAGCCCAGGTGTAGCCAGGAGAGTCCACGGCTCAGAGGGATACGGTGCGCGCCCCGAGCAGGTGAGCTTGGCAAGTTGTCGGCCTCTAGCTTAAAACTGGGGACAGCTCCCATCCTACCTTCCAGGGAGGGCCAAGCTGGGCTACCTGTTAAATGGGAAGGTGAGGGGGGCAGCAAGTTGGGGTGCGAATGCCTGCTCTGCAGTTGGCAAGGACAAGGCCCTGCCAAGTCCAGGTTCTGGTCCATTTTGGGCTGCCAGACGCCTTGGTGCCGCACCACGGCTGCCCTGCTCAGCGGCAGTGGCCATTACACAGGGTGCTGACACAGGGTTTGCTGCTCTTGCTCCCCCTAAGCTTGGCGGGGGCTGGGAGATGGACATTCCCCCATCCTTATCAAGGGAGCCCCCAGGAGGGTGTGGCGCTGGCTCCCGGACAGGCTCTGCTATCAGCAGCTGCCCAGCCTCCCTCCCAGTGGGGTCGGCCCACGCCCATCCCAGCCTAGACCTCTCAGCTCAGCCGGGGCAGGCTACGCCTGGTGGGTCTGAGCCGTGCCCGGGACGGTGGGGGCACTGAGGGGCCACCTACGCCAGGCTGGGATCCTTGAGCAGCTTCTGGCTTGACCCTCGTCACCCACCGCCCCCGCTCGCCACGCAGGGACTAACACTGACCACCTTTCCCTGCCTCCTGCTCTGCCGTGAAGCCTACTTCGCAGAAGTGAGTTTGCAGGGCCAAGTGGCCCCTGGTCTTTACCGGTGGGGAAGGAGACCAGCACTGCGGCAGGAGCTGGGCTTCGCGGCTGGGCGGAGTCTGTAGCTCTTTCTGTTTTACGCCCACCCGACGTGCAAGCACCTTGCTGTGAACACCCGAGTGCCCACACCCAGATCCAGCACAGTGGTTCGTAGCCTGTGTGGGCCGGTGCCCCCTGGAGCAGAGCAGGGACCTTCCCTCCGGAACCAGCACCACCAATTTTGCTCAGACCGTTCAAGGTCACCCGGGGGTGCGGCTTCCAGGCCTTGCCCAGAGGCAGAGGCTGTGAAGGGCAAGTCAGCAGAAGATGCTCAAGCGCCCGTTCCCCCCAGTGGCAAGACACAGGAATTTGGGGACTTTGTCCTTATTTGACTCCGTTCCCACCCAGAAAACGAATGCCCCTTAAAGCTTCTGTTAATAAACCAGTCATAAAAACGACAACCCCAATGCACTCACGTTTTACACATCAGCTCAGCGAGGGAGCCAATCACTCAACAACACAAGGCTAGAACCGCATCACGCACTGCGGTGGGCACGAGCCGCACGCGCCAATTCAAATTACAGAATCCACTCCCTTGGCCCCAAGGACACACATGTGGTCCGTGGACACATGGCCAATGGCTACTGCACAAGATAGAGCAGATACAGAGTGTCTCCCCCGCGACAGCAAGGTCTGGGGGACAGGGGGGCGTGGTAACAAACGGCGAGGCCAGGAAAGCAACACATCACCTGTAGAAAAATCCTGGGGCGGCACAGTCCCAGCTCGACAATGTCTGAAATGTGTGTGTGGACACCTTTAGGAAGGGACAAGGCTGGCTACCACCGCCACCGACTCACCATGCCCCGCAGCAGACCCACCTCTCAAGCCACGAAAACAGGCGCGTTATTCTCCCTCCAACCCAAGGGGCAGCAGACGACAGGCCTGTCTGTAAAGGTTTGTTGGAACCAGCCTCACCCGTTCACGTGAGCATCGCCTGGGGCTGTTCTCCCGCTGTGTGGGCAGAGCTGGGTGACTGCGGCAGAGACCGCCGTGGGTCTGCAGAGCCGACAGTATTTACTCTCTGGCCTCTTACAGGAAGTTTGCCAACCCAGGCCCTAACATGATGCTCTACGAGCGCAAAGGAGAAACGTCTTTCTTACGCACCACCCCGCCGCGCAGAGCCCGAGGGGCCCCGGCTTCCGAGTGCTGCGGCCGTAGCTGGCTACTCACAAGTCTCCATCCCAGACACCATGAACATTTGCCTCCAGACAAACGGTGACAGTTGTGTATGACTCCAAATGCCCCTCCCTTGCCAGCTCGTGGGGAGCCCCGGCCAAGGCCTCCATCGCGAAGAGATGGTACCGACACGTGGCTTTTTGCCGCCGTCACAGGGACCCACGTTGCAGGGCCCCGTTGTGTGCTGCGGCCGACAGCGTCACCCTTGGGCCTCGTTACACACTAGGACCCTGTCCCCCCGTGTGTGACACAGACTCAACTTCATGTAATCACACATTTATTCTGACAGAGTGATCCCTGGCCAGCACCGCTGTAGGCACCCGCCTCTCTTCTTGCTGCACGTGCTGGTCCCCAAGATGACCCAGCAGGGGTGGCTGGGGGGACAGGACACCCAGTGCTACAGAGCAGCCTGCAGCTAGGAGACTGCGCTCGACATGAGCCTTCACATGCTCTTCTAGTTTTTAAAGGAGACCGTTTCAGCACATCGCTTCTGTGTGCGACACGCAGGGAGGACCACTGCCCACAAGCTGCTGCTCTCACACTACATACGGTTCCAAGGGACACGCTGCTGTGAGGACCCCGAATGCTGCCAGCAGGTGGGATGACCATGCCGTAGAGGGAGAGGATACAGGATACGACTCTCAGCGGTGCAAGGTGAGCCAACCGAAACGTAGATTTCTTCCTTTAACATAACAGCTCCACTCCTGTCTCCCCAAAACCGGCTCAGGGAACTCAAACTCCTGACACCATCACTGGGAGTGAAGGGAAAAGTGAATGCAGCACACGATGGACACGTCACAACAAGTTCTTTGAAAAAACAGTCATTTAATATCTTAAGGGAAAGTAGTAACTTTCAGTCACCTAAGACTATAACCAACAAAACTAAAACAAATCAACGCCTTAACGTTCATTCGAAGACAAACACACAGTGAATGGCTCTCGCCGCCCTGCCCGCAGCCACGCCTGTTGCAGGAGGAAGGCGAGGGTGGGCCAGGTCACCCGGGGCCCTCACTACCTGCTTTCTGTCACACGGCCGGAAGGCAGCTCTGAGTGGGAAGGCACACGCATTACAGTGGAAATTGAGAAAGGAGTCGCTCCAAAGCACGGACTGGCCCGGAGACCAGGAAATCGACACCCTAAACGTGGGACGAGGCCACCGAGGTGAACCACTCACGGGTCGCACGTGCACCTGCCGGCGTGGCTGCCGCCCCGGACTACGCCTTACAACATTAAATAATATTTCCAGTCGTCTCATTTGTACATGGTTCCCTCCTGGAAAACCTTTTATTTCTTAAGCTCAAATATAACTAGATAGAGGAGGGGAAAAAAAGAAAAAACCCAAAACCAAAAACCACCCCAAAAAACTGAAATGAGAGAGAAACGTACATCTCAGTAAAAGCTTCTTATGAATAAAGGAAAAGGTTTCCCAATCCTATTTCCAGGGAGAGCAGAAATCTTCCTCAACTTCCACGTCACTCACTGAATTATAATTTTTATAGAAAATTTTATTCAACATACAACATTTTCCAGCAAAAAGGCAATATACAGGAAGAGTTGGTGTACACTGCTGCTACAGAAACAGAAAAAAAAAAAAAAAGAAAAGAAAAAAAGAAAAAATCTGGGAAAGGATGAAAAGTGTGATTCGCTGATTCTATTTTACTGCACTCAAAACTAGACACGCAGCTGGCATTAGCTCCAAAATGAAAGGAAACAAGGCTGGGCTGAAATAAAACTACACACAATGAGTATCGACATCAGTGAGATTCACTTGCAGACTCACCCACCAAAAAGGAACCTCCTCCCAGTGGCAAATTGTACATGTTCATTCATTAAATATACAATTTCATCTTTCCTTTTTTTTTTTTAGCTTTTTTACAAAGTCAACAGCTTACTAACCGCTAGCGAGCATGCCCTCTTGCTAAAGGCTCTCTCGTTTGTTCTGTTCCATTTATTGAAATTCTATTTATAATTCTTTCACCTGCTCATATGAATTGTTGAGATCAAGTTTGCCAAAAGGCAACAGTAAACCTTAATTGTATTTAACAATGTTTTCAGCTTAATAAAAAGACCCCAAAACGCCTGTCGGGACCGGGCTGCAGGACAGCATGGCTGGCGGGAGTGAGACCCGGGCAGCCGAGGAGAGAAGAACCAAGGCAGGGCTGACAACGCACACAATGACGGAAAGAGCGCTATTTATTAGGTTGTGAGTTTCTCTGTTTTGCCTTTACAGATGCACAAAAGGTCATTGAAAGGATAACTGAAGGAAATAGGTCAGACGAGCCTAAACACAAGACTTTCTAGCTGCAGGCTGGTGCGCAGGACCGCGTGAGGCAGCCAGGCCGCTCATGCCGACTAGAAACAGCCCAGAGCCCTCCGCCGGGACCTGCGCTCTGCTAACCTTCTCCCCCGTTACGCTGACAGCTGCCTTGCATTGTGGTTACCATAAAATAACTCTCATTGGCATCCAAGCTTTATAAAAACACCTTCATTTTGCTCAAAAGGGCAGTCAATAGATACAGAGAAGCCAAACTGAACAGCCTCAACCAAAATAAAATTAACATCAGCAGCAAATCCTTTTGCTGACGACTCCGGAGAGTGTGCGTGTGTGCCAAAGTTCTCCGCTGTTAAAAGGGGCACACACCCACGCACCGTCCCTCGCCTCGGACACATGGGGGTAAGGAAGTCAGTTATGGATCTTAATAGCCTTTTCAAGGTACGTGTAGCGACTCCTCTTTGGGGCTTTGTTGAAGTGGTCGAGCCCTAGCCAAGGCCGAGGATGAGACATGTTACCTGGTGGGAACAAAGAAAAGCAAGTGAGACCACAGAGCAACCCTAGAACCCCTGGGTCGGCAGTGGCCAGTGTGGACATTCAAAACCACCAGGGGTGTGTCCTGTAAGCCTCGAGCTGTGAGTTCACAGGGAGGCCAGGAACGTCTGAGCAGCAAGCTCACCTGGGGCTAAGAATGCCCACAGCCTAACCAGACATCTCAGAGGCTTCTAGAATGCAGTACTGTCAGAGGAGCTGCATGCTTGGGGCCACCACCATTTCAGTCCTAAGTTTTTAGGCACCACTGATTACATACCCAAAGTTTTAATCCTCTAAGAATTCACAGGTTACAGGTCACCCAGGAGTGCAAAGAGAAGAGCTGGCACTGGACCCCAGGGCTGCCCGTCCCCAACCAGGTACCCCCGCCGCCCCAGACTCCCACAGAGCGGGCACCTACCAGGCTGTGGCTCAAAGTCTTTCAAATTTACTTCATACTCGTCTTCATTTATGTACTGGTGTCGGCCCATCATTACAATTGCAAATTTAAACTAAAAGAAAAAAAAAATTTAAACTCCTCCATTATTTCTGGATATCTCCAAAACTCACATCTCCAGCAAAAAAACATCCAGACCACTTTCCCAGTCAAGGTTTGAGAGCGCCGTCCACTGGGTCCCCGGGCGCATACCTTCTCGAACTCCTTTTCCTGGATGTCCAGCAGACTCTGAATCCGCTTCATCACTTCTCTGAAGTGCTCGCCCTGGAACAGCAGAGGACACGTGAGCGCAGGCCGTCACTCCCGGCATCCCGGTGCTACCAGCACCGTGGCCAGCCGCCCAAGCAGGACCCTGATTTAGCAACAACAGTCATTCAAAACTTACTCTTTGACTGGAGATGCTCAACCTACTACAAACATCGTACCTGGTGTATCCTCAGCAAAAACGGGATTCCGAACGTTCCGAACACTTCTTTGTGGAAATGAGCCACTGTGATGAGCATCTCGTTTTCCTTATCTATGTCTACCTGGTCCAAAGGTACTTCCTGGGGACACGGAGTTAAACACAGGCTTGGGTAAGTACGGTTAATGCAGACAAAATGGCTACATTTAAATTATGACTTCCCATTCCAACAAGGACGTTAGACTATTTTTGCCAAAGTGCCATACTTGGATCTAGCTAGAATGACAGGGAGTTCAGAGCCAAAAGACATCTAAGTTTTTTCAAAAGAAAACTGAGCATAGAGACCAAATAATGTATTATTCCAGTTACTAAGGAAATGTCAACAGGTCTAAATTCAAGCTAGCCACAAGTTCTGTCCGGAGGTACTTGGTGGCCCACACTGAAGATTAATTTCTACGGACAAATATTATTATATGATTCCACCAATGAGGTACCTAGAGTTGTCAAATTCCAAACCCCAAAGGAGAATGGTGGATGCCAGGGGCTGAGGAAAGGCGACTGGGGAAAATGGAAAACTCTGGAGAAGAGCAGATGGCTGCACAGCAATGAGAATGTACTTGATGCCAGTAGCACTTAAAAATGATGAAAACAAAACAAAACACCTCAACTACTGGTACATAAACACACTCAGCTGCTTACACGACTCGCTTCTGTATTCAGGCAAGCAGCAGACAGGCCCGGTCCCACCCAGAGGCCTCACAAACTCTCTGCCAACACAGGGACGGTTACCTCTATTCGAAACGTTCGACTCGTTGCGGGAGATAAGCATTCTAGTAGTTCATCTTCTTGATGCACACCGATGATTTTGTAGCTTACAATTTCTAGCAGCCTGAACAAAGAAAAAACAAGGGCAAGGAGGTGAAGTATGTATATTCACGTAAAAATAAAACAATGATCGCAAATAGTTTTCTGGAAAACTGTATCTACAAAGCTGCCACACTATGTGCTTGTCCTCTTACTGTTAAGAGGGTTTGAAATGTCAGAAGCAGGTACTCGTGGCGAGCAGACAGAACGTGGACCAGGTGGTCCCCGCAGAGCATGAGATCAAAGAGACTCAGCTGGTCTCAGTGCAAGTGGCCACGCGTGGGCACAGAGACAAAGCGAGACGAGGCTCCTGGGCCTGTGTCAGCCGTTCCCAAAAGGAACTCGAGGTAGGCAGGGCCAGATGTTTTCACCTACTCTTTAGATAACAGATTAAGGTCTCATTGTTTTATTAAAATTCCAAAGAAAACACACTGGAAACCAAATAGCCCCAAAGGTTGTTGGTCCTACAAGCTGACTATAAGGCAAAATGCTAGCAATAGTGCCCAACTCGCTGAAATAAACACTCATCGTCAGACTGGGGGCTTCTTTCTACGGCCTGCATGCTGGCCGAACAGATCCAGGGTGACCCGACTTCTCACTGATCATTCACAGTGTGATTCACATCCTTCCTCTGCTTGGCTGTTCCTTCTACAGCTCGTTAACATCAGGAGACGGGGAAAAGGAGGAAAAATGGCTTAACTGTGAAGTGCCTATAAACCTGCGCCAGACCAGCTCCTCTCCACACCGGGCCAGGACGCACGCTGGCCCTGGCTGTGCTCTACCTCCATCAATGAGACATGGGGGGGGGGAGGCGGGGTCCCACATGCCACCCCTACCTTTGGGGTCAAGAAATACTTGCCTGAGTTTCCCTGATGCTTTCTCCCCGAGCTCTACCGCCTTTTTACATTCTTCTAACAGGTCCCGGACACACCCATGCTTGTCTGGATATAGTGTTATTTCCTAAGCAATGGAAAGATGAAACAAGCACTTTAAAGCACACAAGGGGTCTGCAATAACAAACAGGAAGGAGGAAAAGCTGCCGGTTGTTCCCAATTGTCTCCAGCTGGCCCAACATGTCCTTGTCTATGTTCCCGCCCGGTGGTCCCTCACCTGTGAATTCACTCAGGGCGGGCAGATCGGCGTTAACCTAGGGCCCACCCAGCATTAGCAGGTCAGGATGCAAAGACTCATTTCTACAGACAAACACTATGCAAAAAGCTTGCCGTTTATAGAGCAGCCTCTCAGGACACGATCCCCGGCAGGGCCGTCCTAGAGCCTGCCCAATTCTCAGCAGAGGGAGCGTGAAACTGGCCCAGGTAACAGACCAGGCAAACCGCGGGCTTCATATGACCCACTCTACACGGGGGAGGCCGGTGACGGCTCAAATCTTCCTTTGACGCTGGCAGAGCGTGAAAGGCGAACAACGTGGTATCCAAGTGGGCAGAGACTGTCTGGAAGAACCACTTAAAGGTACGGCTGGACATGTCTGGTTTGGAGCAAGCAGCTGACAGTGAGCAGCCTGCGCTGGCTTGTGGGAGGTGCACGCACAGCAGGGTCAACGTCTGCTCCACTGAGGGGCCTGCTGGACCCACTGGGACCCGCCGAGGCAGGAATAGTTTGAGAAGGATACTTCCGCTGGGCCGAGTAGCAACGCGTAAGCGTCAACATCTCCCAATCAGTAAGGAAAGGATGACAGGGAGCACTCTGCTGGCTCAACACACTGTTTTTCACCCCAAAGGCCTGAGAAGATCATACCAGGCAGGAGGAGGGAAGACCCTGGGCCAGGGGGCATTTAATACCTGCTATCATTTAGACAGCGCTTTGCTTTTGTTGTTTTAGTGTAAGAGCTGGAGATATACAGAACGATAAGCTCCAATAAAACAAAAATGCATGGTATTTTAAACAAAACTTACCTCTTCCCTAAATTGGCTGTTTAACCATATACACTTAAAACTCCGTCTATTCTCAAAGTCTGTGATTTTCATCTTAAGCTATTAAGAAAAGAGAGACTCACTTTAGATACATTTCCACAAAAACCCAAGCCTTCTCTTTATACCCACAGTTACATTAATTTGGACTCATACCTGCTGATAGTAAAGTTTCTTAGGTTGTCTGGGCTTGAAGAACTGTAGAAGATCTCTTAAAGTACCTTCATAATTATGTCTAAGTGGGTTACCTGGGCCATCCCTATAACTACACAAGAAAACAGCATATAAATAAATGACTTCTTTATTTGCCTAAAACAAGTACCTGTGAGTGAGCATAAAAGCAAACCACTGCCCTTACACCTAGACATGAAATTTGGACCTGGCATAGGGTTCGGCTTTATACTCCTGTTTCCCAAGACCTAAGTGCCTCTTGCTGTCACACCTGAGTGCTCTGCAGTGGTAGCGCGGCACACAGAAACCTGGCAGGGACTGACCCAGACAGACACATGGGAGATGCACGGATGATGTATCTAGAGTTAAGTCTGCCTTTAGATGGGGCTGACGATTATTCTGGTCAAGCTTGAGTGGTGACGATGCTAAATCTGAAGCTAAGCAAGGAATGGCATGTCAGGTGACATGGCTAGCTACTTATTAGTGTTAGTTGCCAGAGGTTTTGATGAACTATGGAAAGCACGTGGTACTGACCACACACGACAGGGGCGAGGTGTGGCTTACCCTTGAGACTTGAAAAACTGGAGCAGCATGGGGTCCGTGTTGAGCCTCTGTGCAACTGTCTTTGCAACCTGCGAGACGGAAATGAACCAGGAGACAGCAAGAAGGTTCACGTTTTAGGGACAGAATTGAAATGTGCTCAATAAACTTCATGATTAATTACTTAAAATGTGACATGCGCAGTCTGAATTTAGATTCCCTAGAAATTTACTATTTAACAGGAATAAACTATATTCCTTAGTATAGCACCATGGGAGCCACGTATCTGACGATGACTTTTAAAAGGACTTTCACTTTGAGCGGTGAGGCCTATGGGTTTTTATTTTCTGACGGTGATTATTCCAGCTCCCACGGCAGTATCAGCCTGAGTCCACTTCCATAGGCAATTTCCTCAGGCGACGGGACTGTAACCCCCCCTTCTGAACTAAGCCCATTAGACAGCTTCTTTAACAAGCATTTCAAAAAAGAAACTGGTCTGTCTGGTGCAGAATCTGAAGGGGAGAAGAACGTTTCTTAAATACCTGAAAATAATTCATTCTATTTGATAATGTCACCACAAATCCAGGATCATTAGGGATTGTTTTATCACAGAAAATGACATCAACGCGATGGTAGAGGTCTCTGAAGTACTCCTTTGCAGTGGGCAGTTCACTGTTATCATTTTCAGGGTCATCCCTGGGGGGAAAAAAGGTTTACAGACTGAGTCAGAGTCCACGGAGGGGAGCAGCTGGTAAAAATGGCATCTTTTAGGCAACAGTGACGCCAACAGGTTCTCTTGCAATACAAACTCAGGCTTCGCTTTTAGGCTGCTGGGAGCCCGCCTCAGCTCCCTCCGTGAGCAAGGCATGCCAAGAAAAGCAGTTACGTCTGGGAGATGTGCTCTGAGCCACGCACAGTGCTGGCTGCTTCACATTCCCAGGGTTTCTACAAAACCAGAACATGCTCGAGACAACAGTGCCCCCTCTACAGACAAAGCACGCCCAGGATGCAGCGCCTTGCCCGCAGAGCTCGCAGGTGGCAGAGCCCAGACTCTGACCAGGAGTCAGCAAATTACCACTTTCATGTAACATCTGAGACCACAGAGCTGCTGGATTACATGCAGGCATATTTAAATGAATTACCTATGTAGGTGCATTCTAAGAAATTTCATGTACTTCAGGGGAAGGAAAATAATTGTTATTCCATAAAGTCCCCCTCCCATAGCTATCATGCTCACTTGTTGACATTTTTAGGGTGAGAAGAGAGCTTTACATGATAAAGGTGTTCCCCACCCCTAATTCCAAAACCTAGAGAAGGCCAGCTACGGTCAGCACTGAGATGCTCTCAGCAAAACATGGCACGGGGTCTGGACACAAACGTTTCTTGGCCCAACGACAAGAAAACTTCTGACAGTAGTACAAAGTGATAAAATCCTTCAGAAAAGTACATACTTTTGAAACACAATAATGTCACCGTCCATTAGTTCATCCAGGGCTTTATCAAGAGACACGTCATAGTCCTGAATTCGCTCTGTTAAATTCGGTTTAACTTCCTACAATAAAAGATATGAAATGGTTACAGGGCACAGTTTGTCTAATGTTTAACACGGCCATATATTCTTCCCTATGCTTTAAGTATTTTCTCTAAGCCCAATTCTGTCCATCTACATTTTTAGTTAGTTAAAATGCTAATAGGAAAAACTAAATTGAAAAATCCCTAAGTATGGAATTAATTACTAATTAATTACTGATCTTAAATAGTTTTTTCTTTTTTTAAATCACAAATCTAAAAATGTGATCCTCAACTCAAGATTACCTGAGACCCCCAAGTCAGGAGTCAGGTACAGACCTCACACGATAACAAATTCAGAGAAAGCAAAATAAACAACAGCCCCCCAACCCCAAACTACTAACGACACACTGATTAGGAAAAAAATGAACCACGCCAACCTCATAGAGGATAAGGTTAGTATCTTGACTAAATCCTGCTCTGTCACACATAACCGGGAGCAAGTCACCTAGGATAGAGAAAAGTTTTTAAATACGCAGCTGTAATATGCTGAGCGAAATTCCACTTAGAAGGCAAGTGCAGTAAGGACTTACGTATTTTACAGGATATTGGGGTGTAGATATGCCCACAGTAATTCAAGCTCCGTGTTTTGGGATCATACATCTTCAAAAATAACATTACATCATCTACAAGGTTAATAAACGAGTTTCGTTAGGATCGTAATGCTTGGTACAACGTTAAAGAAAAAGGTTAATAGTTCACTCGCTGCTCAGTAACAACGGAAATGACAGCTTAAGGTACTAACAGTCACCGTGTCAGATGAGGTTTACTCAAGAGGCTGATGCCATGGCTGAAGAGATCTTTCCCACATCAAACTCACAGGAACTGCTACATCTGAGGTGGGGAAGCTGGTATTAAGTGCGCTGAATTTAGAAATTCTAGTTCACAGAGACCTGGCACTAACTAGCTGCACAAGTGTTACCACACGAAGACATGTTAACAGCTTTGTCTTTGCTAAACATGACCACTCACGGCAAAAAAATTCTGTCATTTTGTATCAAGGGTCAGCAAATTCCAACCCACCTGTTTTATACATAAACTTTACCGGCCCACAGCGTTTGTTTACATACTCTCTGTGGCAGCTTTACTGCTACAATGGCAGACAAATTCTACGGCCAGAAAAGGCCGAAATATTTACTATCTGGCCTGAGACATCTTGCAACCCTGCTCTACATGATCTGAGCACGGCGAGCAGCACAACGCAGAGGCAGAGACCAGGAACAGAACAGCCCCACGCTGCCGCCACCGTCTCCCCGCCTCACAGCCCAGTCTTATTTGACTTCATCAGGAAGCCCTGAACACGTGAAGGAGCATGGGTGGAATTAAGCAACTGATCTTTCCGCAACGCTCAGCCCCGTGTGTTTGGAACAACCATCCAAGACTCCAGCTCTATGCTCTAAGCGACGTCAGGCGTCTCGTGGGCACTTACGATCTTTATCAAACTTGGGTAATGTCGCTCCACTAGCGGCCAGCTCGGGATCAACTGTTTCCAGGAATATTGTCCAAGGGTTTTCATTATCACTGAGTTCAATCATCTATTTCCAAAAGAGATGCTGATTTTAGAAGGTTCTAATGGCTTAGGTGACAGATCGAAAAACTATACTCAAGTACTGAAGAAAACGTCCATTCTATTTAACTGGACCAAAAAGGAACCAAGGTGCACTAACTGCAGAGGACGAAGCCTTCTGCACAGTCCCAAATGAGATATGCTATTATCAACAATATTTACTGTTTTATTGCCGTCTGCTTCATTATCTAACATTGCTGGTCGCTTTGTTCCATTACTCCTTGCTTGCATGGGCCATAATCGAATTTGATCTTGTGGAAATCCCTGAAAAAAATGTTCAAAATGAATAACGAGTTCATATTTTAGTCCTATAGCAACTTAATGATTGTGTTTTTTTTGTTTTTGTTTTTGTTTTTTAAGAGAGACAGGGTCTCCCCCTCTGTCATCCAGGCTAGAGTGCAGTGGCATCAACACAGCTCACTGCAGCCTCCAACTCATGGGGCAGCAATCCTGCTGCCTCAGCCTCCCAAGTAGTTGGAACTATAGGCACATGCCGCCGTGCCCAGGTAATTTTATTTTTTGTAGAGACAGGGTCTTGCTATGTTGCCCAGGCTGGTCTTGAACTCCTGGCCTCAAGAGATCCTCCCACCTGAGCCTCCCAAAGTGCTGGGATTACAGGCACGAGCCACTGTGCCCAGCCTGGTTTTGTGATTAGAAGGGAAAAAAATCGTAATTACAATTCTCCCTTCTGACTTAAGACAACTATGACCCACCCATCAGGGTCAGCTGTATTCCAGAGCTTGAGTGCCCAATCTCAGGGCAGGGGATATCAACATGCACGTGCAACTTCCTTCTTTGCAAATTCTATGGAAAGACTAGCTCAATAGGGCAGAAACATGTTTCTGAAACCTCATGGATTCCCTTGTACCAGAGTCAAGAGCTCCAGAATATTAAGAGTATTTTTCTTAAACTCGTTTCTCAGACAGGACATGTACCTCACTTTTAGGCAGTGACTGGACACAGTGTCTATCCCCAAAGGTAGTTAGTGTTTTCTAGTTACACAGAAGAAAGGTGGAACCTGGAAGTCAGCCTAAGAAAAGCCACCAGAAGGACTGGCACTCACCATGGTCTGGGAGAGGTTCTGGACGAACTCGGCAAGCGAGGAGTTCTTTAATACTTTGAACACAGTGTACTTCACTTTCTCTTCATCGTACATGTCATTTCCTTGGTGGCCACAAAACTGGTCCTCTGCAACTATCTGAATACACATTTGAGAGCACAGAACAGAGTTTACAACTGGCAAAAAGTATGAGTCCACGCTGAACAAGTTTAAATACTAAAATCCTAAAAACTAGTCTTTTGTTCCAAAGACATTTCTTCAGAAGATCCATGAAGAAAAGCTTCACAAAATGACCAAAACTAACTCAGGTATTTATTTAGGAGAGTAGTCTACATTTCAACGTAATCACAGTCGGTAGGGCATCAGCCGGAGATCCAACTGTGTGGACCTCCGCCCACTCTCCAATCCCCTCTGTGCTGTCCATAAACACTAAGAGCTGAGTCCTTACTCCTGAACTGGCCCGAGCAGTCACTTGGGAAGTGCCCGCCAGCTAACTCCAATCAGCTAACCCCAAAGAGGCCCGATATTAAAAATGCTGCCCAGAGCAGCTCGGGGCACAGTGGCCCTGATCTGTGGACAGTCACACCGGGTGTGAGAGCAAGCTCAGGGTACGGCATGCATGCTCTCTGGGGGTGCGGGGCGCGGACCTGCACTTGCATGTAGAGGTGGGCCTCCTGCCGCTCCTTCCGTTTCTGGGCCTCGATCCTTTTCTCTTCTTGTAATCGCTCCACCAGCTGCTGAGGAATATCGTGATCTGTGACAGCCTGTAAAACTTCACCTGCAGGACAAATGCATCCTCTTTCACCTCTGTGCAGACCTACGTTGCCTTCCTTAGAAGGTCCAAAGTCTAGGTCATCTTTAATAAAATAATCTATTAAAGTAAAATTACTTGGTATTGTGAGTTTACATCAGAACACACAAGCCAATCCAACTTGCTTCACAACAGGGCAGAGTAAGTACAAAATGTGTTTGGACAGGCAAGCCTGTTGGTGGATTCGCGGTACAACTATAGAAGTTTACCAAAGTAAGGGATGAAACAAAAACCTGATCTACTCACTCAGTTTTGATTCCCTGATATACACTAACATATAAGCATTGGTGCAGTGCCGGACAGACAGGTCATCATCATGACCTCCATAATTGTGCTCAATTGCTTCTTCTTTAGTACACCTCGACACGACGTCATCATCAAATTTACACCACTGGAAGGAAAGCAACAGAATGTCAGAGATAAAATGCAGTGACAGGAACCTAGCACTAGAAGGCTGATGGTGTGCTGGCCCAGGCATCCCTCTTATGATATGCATTAGTACTTTCACCTTCAATATTCGGTGGGAACTGCTACTACTTACCCAGTGGCATTTTTCGTAATCTACTCAAATATCCCACTTTCCACTTAAGTTCCATCTACTGACGCTACCAACTCTTTACAAAATTAAGAAAACCGTATTGAGTATACCCAATTTAATGATAAAATTTTATGCTGTGGTTGTAAAATGAAATGGGATGTTACCTTATGCCACCTCATTTTACCAAAGGAAGTGAGGGCCTGACTTTTAAAAAAGTCAACATAACTTACACATAATAGTTATCGCCCAATCTCTGCCGTGGACTGAGCCATTTTAAATGGTAATGAACGCCACAGTCGCAGGTGTTCTCCATTGCTGTCTCCTGCTGTGGGGATCCCTCCATCACATTCCCTCGGCAGGAGCCAGCGGCCTGAACCCTTGCCCTGTTGTTCTGTTACTCGCTGGCCCTGTGGCCTTGGACAAGCATTTTGAGACCCTCATCTGCAAAATGGGTATCCTGCCCTCTATTCTCCCACGGGAGATGATGAAAATCACACGATGAAGCCACACGGAAGGCACCGTGGAGGACAGGCACACAGGGTCAGAGGCAAGCAACCCGGCCTCCTTGAGCCAGCCCATGCTGGGTCTCACGTAAGATATAAGGGATTATATCTCATATTAGATACAAGCCCAATGTTCATTACTAACTAAGTACAATCACTAATTTATCATTTACCTTTGAAGTCTCAGCAATTAAATGGACAGGAAAATAGCACTTAGCAGCCAGAGGACAGACAGATCAATGTGAGGCCAGGGAGAAACCTCAAGCTAACAAGCTCATCAAGCAGGAGGGAGAAATGGCCGCAGCAGCGCGTCAGTGTCAATCTCCTAGTGAGCACTGCATTCCACCCGAGCCAACACTTACTTTGCCGTCCCCTTTGGGGTTCAGATAAACCACATAATGTCCACCGTGGTTATCCCCACTGTGAACCAGGACTGCGTGGAGGATGTAATTTGCAGGGTCCTTAGGGTCGGTTTTTTGCAAAAATTCATCAAGGGGCAATTGTTCTGGGAACTCAAACCTATTAAGAAACATTTTAAAAGAAATTCATTTATACATAAAATATTGTACTTTTTGGTTTTATTTATTGCAATGTTTTCTAATTCACTGGTTCAACATTAACGGGAAAAGTATGAATTTGACTTGAGAAACCCTGTGAGCTACTTTTGAGGTAGCCCCGCTTATAAGAATTTTCCATATGTCTACATAAAATTTCAATTTAGATTTATGAGGAAAATGCATATAGAGCAATGAGCTCCCTAATAAAGTTTCAAATCCAAGGATATTATACAGTCAGCCTTATAGTACACAATGTGAATTTCTAGGCTGTGGATAATTCAAAATATACCAATAAATGATTCTGAAAGCCCAAGAGTTAGACCACTGAGGATACATCACATTTTTTTTTTTTTGAGGCAAGAGTGCCATGGTGCCAGCCTAGCTCGCAGCAACCTCAAAGTCTTGGGCTCAAGTGATTCTCCTGCCTCAGCCTCCCAAGCAGCTGGGATTAGGTGTGCGCCACGATGCCCAGCTAATTTTTCTATTTTTAGTAGCAATGGGGTCTTGCTCTTACTCAGGCTGGTCTCGGAACTCCTAAGCTCAAGTGATCCTTCCGCTTTGGACTCCCAGAATGCTAGGATTACAGGCATGAGCCACTGCGGCTGGCCAATATACTCCAATTTGAGAAGTGTGGAAAAACCAAAGTAAAAAGAGATTTCTCATCCTGCGACTTCTACAGACATGATGAAATTGATTTGGTTTTAAATTACTGTCTTCAAAAAATTTGATCTTCTTAATAAGATTTCAGCATGAGGGGTGCCAAAGCAAAGTACTCACACTCTCGAATCTGGTATCTTGCTCTGGAAAATTGTGTATAACGGGGCTCACAAACACCTACTTTAGCATTCTTGAAAATTCCAGCAAATTCTAGATTTCAACACCAACTGAGAGATTACATAATACCAGAGAATCTTATTTAAACGAATACACTAGTATCAAATTCCACATCTGAGGTAACATCTACAGTTTGGCTCAGATTAAATGTATAAGGAATCCTGGTAAACGCAACATCTATGAAACAGAAATAACCCTCCCTACCATCCTGAACTTCAGACCCCCACAGTGGAGAATAGGGTTGAAATCAGGTGAAGTATCCTTTAGAGGGAGAAATCCATTCAGAGAGGGAGCAGCCTCCGAAATCTCTTACGTAACATTATCCCTTTGACATTACAACTCTTGAAATACCGAGTTAGAAGAGACCTTGAAATCAGAGAGGAAACCGAAAATACAAAGACTGAACAGAAGTACTGAGATCAGTCCCGTAAGTCAGAATGATGAAATCTTAACTTTCACATCACGCTACAGATTACCTATCATTGATCTTGATATTTTGGTCCGTCTGTGGGTCATACATAAATCTCATCAGTTGTAGATGTAACACTGGTGGCAATGTTAGGAATTTCACACCCTTCTCTGCTTCCTGAACATTGAAAAAGAAACGCAAATTTAGTTCCTTAAAGCAAGAAAGCAACGTGTTTCAGCAGGAGTGGGAAGTGTTTGGGGAAGTTTGGAGCGCAGAGGCAGGGAAGTTTAGCTATCCATTTGGGCACCTCTAAAATGTTTTGTTTAGGTCTGTTATTAGGTCTCTTCCTTATTGAAAACTGCTGCACCGACCTGTGTGAGTGACTTCTTACGTAGGATTATGCTCTAGCTTGGCGCCTAACAGTGGGGGTGGTGAAACAAATTAAGACAGTCCTTTGCTACCACGTTATAGCTATTAAACATTATGAAAATTGTGGAGATCCACAGGAAAAAAACATCAAACGGAAAAGGAGAAAACTATGATTTCAATTATGTAGGATTAGGCATGCCTACGAAGCACCTACACGGACCGAGCACAAATGCACACATCCACGGGTTGGGAGGATTGTAAGTGAACGGCTTCATTCCCTCAGGCTCTTTTATGTTGACAAAAGCACCCATGTGTCGTGGAGCACACGCTCAGTCCTGGCTGTTCAATATCACTTCGAAGAGAACGAAAATGTCCTGATTCACTATCAGCAAAGCCCTTTCAACACTCAATGCGGCCTTATCCCTGCGACTGCCAGCCTCTCAGCCACAGGACACCCCCACACCCCAACTTCTAACAAAGGCCTTCTCTGGAGGGGCCCAGGACCCTCCAGCTCTCACACCTCCCTGCACCTCTGCCCCAGCTCAGCCGGCTCTCGCTGAAATAAGGCCTTGCCCCTCTAAGCCACTAACAGGCCGTCAGGGGCCTTCCTCCCGTCTGACTCACAGCTGTGTTTCCAGTATGGCCCTTCCCTCAGGCCTTAAACCTGTCCGGTGACCAGCCACAGGCCTGCAGGAATTGGGGGCTGTGACAAGACACACCTATTTGGCAACTTTCTTTAGTGTACATGAGCATGTTTGAGACGACAGGGTTATCTCAGGAAAGACAAAAACGAAACCCACGAACCTGCTCCAGATCAATGAAGGGCACGTTTTTAACTGGGAAGATAAAGTATTCTGTCCCTCCACCACTGTCCATTGAGGCTTTCACTCTAAAATACATATTGCTTCCCCAGACCTCAAAATATCCAGCGTAAGAGCAATGCTTACGCGTTGAGTGTAATGTTTTCTCAAGCACATCCAGTTACCAAACTTAGTGGGTTTTTTTAGTTGTTGTTAGACAGAGTCTCACTCCGTTGCCCGGGCTAGAGAGCAGTGGCATCAGCCTAACTCACAGCAACCTCAGACTCCTGGGCTCAAGCAATCCTTCTGCCTCAGCCTCCCGAGTAGCTGGGACTATAGGCATGCCCCACCACACCAAGCTAATTTTTTCTATTTTTAGTAGAGATGGCGTCTCGCTCTTGCTGAAGCTGGTCCTGAACTCCTCGGTTCAAGCGATCCTCCCACCTCAGCCTCCCAGAGTGCTAGAATTATAGGCGTGAGCCACTGCGTCCGGCCAGCAAACTTCTGATTAATGTTTACAGAGCGATGTTCTGATCTACAGCTCAGTCCCTGAGTGGTCTGGCCTAGCAGGAGAACAGCAAATCCGTGACCCACTGCAAAATGGGTACACTAGCCCCATAAATTATAAATTGGCAGGTTTGGTAAGCATAGGCCAATCTGAAATTTTAAATCATAAAGTAGTTGACCCAATGAGTCAAGGTTATGTGGCTACAAAAGAGACCCTAGATCACTGGATCCCAGAGGACACTGGGGATCCAACAGAATGGTGTGGACAGTAGCCAGGGACTTTGGCCACATCAGTTTCCCTCCATCCACCCATGGACTGGTGGCCTATTCGCAGTGCTCACCACTCTGCCAGATGCCCAGAGCGCCTGGGGGCCATGACCCTAGAGAATGCACTCACTCTGGAAGTCACGATCCTCAGAAAACTAAGTTTCATCTAAAAAGAAAAAAGCAAACAAACAAAAAACAAAACAAAAAAACCACCAACCAAAAACAGAGTCCCAGGGACTAAGAAACATTATTTGTGACCAGATCCAACTGAGGGAAATGTCCAGCGCTCCTGAGGAACAGACTAATTGATGGACTCGGGAACTTCCTAAAACACCATGACAGACCCTGAAACTTCCGGATGATGAATCTGCTGCTTCAACCTTCTGCTAACCCCTCCCCTCTGCCCCCTCCCCATTCAACTCTACAAGCAATGAAATCCTTTGAATGTTCTTAATGCCGGAAACACATGAAAAGGTTACCAGTAAATTTTTACTTAGCATTTAAGGCAAAGGCCTGAAAATAGAGCAAGAAGCTGCAGTAGGACACCGGTGCAAACCCCAGTTACCTGCAAGCCGTGCTCCCCGGCGTCATATTTATTGTCTCCGTCCAGTTGTTCTACAGCCACATAATCCACAAATGATTCAAATACTTTAAAGAGAGAGGAGAAACAGTCAAACCAAACTGATCACTAAAGCTTCCACCCAGATATGATTATTTAAATATAACGCAGATATAAATTACGTAAATCAACCTATTTAGGAGTGCCAGAGTAGAGAATGTCACTAACTGTAGCTATGAGCAGTAACACCCTCCACTCACGACTGTAGTTAATGTGTCCTTACCACCCTCACTCATCAGCCAAAGCACAGTAATGTTTCTAAAGGGTATTAAAACAATATGTAAGAAAGAGTTGATGTTTCAGTAACTTAGATTTTGAGCAAAACACTTATTATGAAGCTACAATTACGAAGACAACATAGAACGTACAGTGTGGACAACCACGACCAGATGAGTACAAAGGTTTGCAGCTGATGACACAGAGCGACAAACAGCCCAGGTCAGCTAGAGACCTCAGGTGGGGCTCGGTCACGACATCCCTACCACACACAGCTGTCCCAGGTGGACTGCAGATCAACAGAAAACCACTAGCAGGTAACAGAGTACCTTAGGATGTAAACAGCAAAACTGATACACTGGATTTCACTAACATTAAGAATGGCAACATTGAAGGGTGAAAAGCAAGGCACACAACCAGGGAGAATCTCTGCAACTCAGTACAGAACTGACATGCACAGTATATGAAGAACTACTTATGCTCTGGCCGTTCTGGAATAATACCAGCGCATAACACTGAAAACAACTGTATCACTTTGCCGGCAAGAAAAAGAAAAAAACAAAACTGTGATACTCTGGTCTACAGGCAGCATGGGACGGTGAGCCTCCAGAGAAGGGCAACAATGGAGCCCACGATGGACCCAGCTTACTGCTTCGTGACCAGGCTGCAGTGCTGGGGAGGAAAACCCAGATGGAGTTCAGTGTCTGAGTCCAGAAGACAGAAGTGAGAATTTGAGGAGCCCAGGGCAGCTGGAATCTACCGGGCACAGCACGCAAGAACCAAAAGCTGCACAGAACAAGGGGTCTGGAGATTTGCAGAAGGTTCTCCTATACCATTAGAGGCTACTGGCCAGCACGTGAGTGTGTGGAATGTACCTGAGGCCAGGGAAAGAATCCCCTGGAGACCCAGGACTGGGGGGGCGGGGGTGGGGAATCCTAATTCTCATAGCTCAGAAGGGCTGGGATAGTCTGTGCTCCCACTGCCCACAGTAAATACCTCCTCATACGGGTAGACTGGTCTGAAAACTCACGAAGGGAACAAATTAGACCTAAAATAAAACCTGCTGTGGCCCCACCGAACACAGCTTAAAACAAGCGTCAAAAGAGCTAAACTACTTCCAAGTAACTTGATCTGTGCCCCAAAACAAAGGTTAAGAATGCAACACCCAGCAACATAAAAAGCACAGTACCTCCTATCAATAAAATATTACCAAGCATGCAAGGAAGCAGGAAAGCACCACCCATCAAGAGAAACAGACCCAGAAATCACAGATGACAGAATCAGTGCGAAGTTATTATTAACTATATTCCATATGTTCAAGAGCACCGAAGAAAACAAGAGCATATTAAGAAACACAGAGGATTCTTATTAAAAGATCCAAATCAAACCTCTAGAAATGAAAACATAACAGACAGGATTCACAGCAAACTTGACACTGCAGATGTCAGAGCAATAAAAACACAATGTCAAACCGACAAGGTGGGGGGAGGGGAGAGGGGGGACGAGTATTTGCATACACAAAGAGTGCAATGCGCACCATCCCAAGGATGGACATACTTGAAACTTGGACTTGGGGGGGGATGGGGGGCAAGGGCAACATATGTAACCTAAACATCTGTACCCCCATAATATGCTGAAATAAAGAAAAAAAAAAAACCAACAAGGTGACCAGGGGTGACTGCAGGCGGGGGTGGGGGGATGTGTGAAGGGTGGCCAAAATTTTTCCAAATTTAAGGATCACTATAACTATAAACCCACAAATCCAAGAAGTTCAGTGTGCACTGAGCAGAAGAAACATGAAGACTACAGTAGGGCACATCAGAATCTAACAGCTTGTGATCGGTGAGAAACAGAATATCTTAAAAGTCAAGGGCAGGGTGGGGGGTGGCACAGCACTGGTGTTGGGACAGAGACAGCACATTACACAGAGAGGAAGAGACCTAAGTGTGACGACACAGACTTCTCGGAAACAATGCCATCAAGAACACAGTGGAATCCTCTAACACACTGTCAATCAGAAGTCTCTACCCAGTTAATGTGTCTTTCAGAAATGAAGATGAATTAAGACCTTTCACAGTATACAAGGTCAAAGAATTCATCTCAGCAGATCTGTACCAGAGGCAATAAATGAAAATGATACCAGATGGAAACCTGGATCTAAACTAAAACAATGAGCACCACAGTTGTATACATGGGTGTAAATATGACACACGTCCTCCCCACCCCCGTCTTTAACATCAATGCCTATACATCAATTAAGAACTGAGAAACCAATACAAAAATGGATAAAACACTTAAACGGGCATTTTACGAAAGATCTCCAAATTGTCAGTAAGTATCTGAAAAGACAACTTCACTGATCTTCAAGGAAATACAAACTAAAACCAAGATAGCACCATTCTCCCACCAAAATCCTCAAAGTCTGATAACTGACACTTCTAGAGCAACTGCAACTCTGACATACTGGGGATGGAAGTGAAACTGATAAATCACTTTGGAAGTCTCACCAGCTTTACCTATGAAGCTGAACATACGCATGCCCTACGTGGTAGCAATTCAATTCCTCCTGCCATAAAAGCAAATGAACACGGGAATGGTCAATCTGCCTCACACCTAACAGCCTCAATCTGAAAACCACCCACTAAATATCAAGTTTCAAAACTTTTGTGGTATATTCCTAAAACGAAATCCTCTGAAGCAATGAAAATGATCAAATGACTGCTGCTTGCAATGGATGTGTTCACGAATACAATGCTGAGCAAGAGAAATCAGAAACAAAGAATATATCCTGCTGCACGACTGTATTTCAATACACACTTAAAACACGCAAAATTAACCTAAGATGTCAGAAGCCCTAAGAGTGGATTCCTTGGAAGAGGGGAGGCAGTGAGCTGGAGGGGCTGTGGGGTCCGGTCCAAAGTTCCATTTCTAGCGCTGGGTGGGGGCGACAAGCCTGTGTGAGCTGTACGCTTAACCTGTGAGCCACTCTCTGCATCTAGGCTACGTTTCAGAAATACCGATTGTGTAAACAAGCCAAAACAGAAATTATCGAAAGCTCGTGGCATTAACATAAACACAAACTTACTATTTTTCTTTCCCTTTATACTTAGCTGGATGTCGTAATAATCTTCTCTTCTGTCAGACCGGTAGTCCACTTCTTTACACTGGATGTAGGACTGTAAGGAAAGCAAGGCGGCTTAAGTATCAGTAGTCAAACAACTCATTTTAAAAACCATGCTTTAAAACTGGTAATCACATACCACCATTTTGCCTCTGAATAATTTAGGAATGGTGCCTTCTACACACGTGCCTTTCATCTTATTTTCCACATTATCAAGCAACTGAAAGAGAATGTTTTGGCTTTAATACAAATTTTTATGATTAAGGAATATAATTTTATACATGACTAGGAAATTTCAATGGTCGAAGATGTACTAGACTATTAAACATATGACCTTTGGCATGCAATTATCAAAAACATACAAAATCTCTTTTCTTGGTTGGATTTTTACAAAATATCTACATGCAACAGTTGAGGTTAACCTTTTATACAGCCTTTGGAATGAATTAGTAATCTGTAGTGCCTTTAGAAGCATTTTTTATATTTATTTTACCTCTGTGGAAAAGTATGTAAACTGTTCACTAAACTTAACTCGTAATGGTCCACACCAAGAGATTAATGAGGTTGAGCCTGTCAACAGGATTGACTGGTTTGTCCATGGATATTTAATGAACTGGATTCAATCCAGCTAGTGCTGCAAAAAAGAAAACACACCTTGCCCAGCCAATCACCTTGAACAGCCATTTCATGTGTGTGTGTCTATGTCTTTTATCAAAAATGGAAGAATGAGAATTTGCTAATAACTAATGATTAGGGGGAGAACCGACACAGAGGACTCCCTCAGTGAGAACTTCTGAGAACAGGACAGGTCTGGCTGCTAGCTTGATAGCAGAAGTCACTGCTCTCCCATGACCAGACTGCTTTCTGAAAGGGTTATGCTGCCTGACATTAATACTAACAATAAAGGTAGAAGTTTGTATAATTTATTTTACAAACTGAAATATAACTTGTTGCACTTAAAAGAAAAAGGCAGTCACTTCTCTGACATGATTTAGGACCAACAGGAGAGCGAACTGAGCCAATCTGTTGGTTCTTTGATTTAGTAACTCCATGTATATATGCCAATTTAACAAATTAAAAGCCAACTACTTACTATTACTAAAATTCAAGCTTCCTACAACACCAGCTTCAAATAATTATTCAAATAATTTTTCTAGCTTTTAAAACTAGATAGGTACTGTTATTCCTTCCAAGCCTAAGTTTGGTCCTAAATAAATATGGGCATTCTTCAAATTAGGTCTGAAGTTTATCTTGGTAAGAATTTCTGACACTGCTTCAAAATATTAATTGTAAGAACTATACAAGTATTGCTTGAAACTTACCACTCGACATAGCTCTTGAACATCATGTTGCATGAAGCTATCTAAGGTTTCCCACCTTTCAAAGATAAAACAAACAACTACATTTAAACATCCGAATTTCAAGAGTAAATTAAAAGCAACTTTGATTTAAAAACTAAACTGAAAAATCAGCCATTATTCTTGAATTCTTTTGGGGAGGTTATAATTCAGTGGCAAGCAAGACGCTCACAACTTTTTTTTATCTTGTTCTGATGATCTTACTGCTAGGGGAGGTGGTGTTTACGAGAAAATGTAACACATTTGAAAGCTATACATGTTCTTTGCTTGAAAAGTAAAGACTTTAAGTGATGAATTATTTCTAAAGCAAAAGTTTAAAGCAAAGCTTGTTATTTCCAAAGAAGTGACACGAAATACAATGATAAAAACATTGACATAATTAAATGCCCAAGCCTCCCTAAATTAAACACCTACAGTATGCTCTATTAATTCTTCTATTCTCCACTCATTCTTCCTTTAAAAAGCAGGAAGCACAAAGGGGAAAGGCAGATTGCTAATACATACCCAAATGATTTTGTTAGCTTTTTCGTTCCTACAGGTTTATCGCTGTGCTGTAGTTCATAGAACACTCTTTGTAATGCTAACGGGACGCTTTTAGACGAATCATCGCCCTCTGTTGGCATCATGTACACAGCCTAAAAGATTAATTCAGAAATAAGAATTTAATTTTCATGTAGAAGTATCATTTCTAGTAACACAATAGTTATGGTAGCTACTAGGGCTTTAATCTATATCAAAATAGGTAAGAAAGTTTAAATCATGAAAATCTTTACAGACAACTTGGAAAATAAAGAATTTTTAAAATTACTTACAGCTCACCACCCAAAGAGAACCACTTTTATTTCATAAATCTCAGAGCACTATATTTTTTAACTTATGAACAAAAGATTTGATGAAAACATAAACGCGACTGAAATTCCCGACATTCAGCTATCCCCATGATGTAATCCTATCATAGTAATCTCCTTGGATAAATAGTGCAAAGAGACTCTGAGAGACGGACGGCCCAGCCAGTGGTCCCCCAACACAGCTAGGCACCGTGTGGCCTGCATTTCTTCATTACCAATCATATATAATTTCCAAAATTCTTTTTTTTTTTTTTTTGAGACAGAGTCTGGCTCTGTTGCCCGGGCTAGAGTGCCGTGGCGTCAGCCTAGCTCACAGCAACCTCAAACTCCTGGGCTCAAGTGATCCTCCTGCCTCAGCCTCCCGAGTAGCTGGGACTACAGGCATGTGCCACCATGCCCGGCTAATTTTTTCTATATATATATTCTTAGTTGTCCAGATCATTTCTTTCTATTTTTTGGTAGAGACGGGGTCTCACTCTTGCTCAAGCTGGTCTAGAACTCCTGACCTTGAGCGATCCGCCCGCCTCGGCCTCCCAGAGTGCTAGGATTACAGGCGTGAGCCACCGCGCCCGGCCTAAAATTCTTAATAAAATACTTAATAGAGATAAGTTGCATTTAGAATAAGTGAAAATCAGACTGCACAGTCGGCAATTTTCAATTTAATTTTGACATAAATTTTTTCAAATGTTGCTGTCAATGGCTGGCGTGTTTTAAAATAAAAAACCCTTCCTAAAGTTATTTGAACACAAGTCTGTAAACTTACGTAAGGTGTATTAAACTTTGGATCACTAAGTTAGCTTAAAGAGCAGGGGTCCAAGCCTCTATGGAGATGGTGCTGTGGTTACGGAGAGGGTCCTGCTGCTGGGAGGACTTTGCTTGTCCCTTAATATACCTGAGAGGAAAGGATGGGTGCAAGGCCATAGGAGAGAAACACTATCCACTTACCTTTCGTAGTTGATTTGTGAAAAATAACGTCTGCAGCAGGCTGTTCATATAACAAGTGGCTCCCTGATTCTTTAAACCGACATAGCCCGTGTGCTTCTTCGAATCCCACCTAAAAGGTAAGTTCAAGGTTGGGGGTAACATGCACACGCCTCCTTGCTTCTGCACCCTGTGTGCAACAATCCAACTTGATGTAGGCAACAGGGCCGACATCTTACTGTCATGTACCATCCATCACCTCTTTTCCGCCATCCCCAACAGAACTGAGGCCCCTGCCATCAAGGAAACCGAGGCCAGGAGTACTTATCACACGGCTCCCTCCAGTGACCGCCTACTTGTGTCTGCTCGCACAAGTGTGTGAAGTGGTGCAAATCCAACCCCAGCATTGGAACAGCTGTTTAAGCACCTGTCTGCTGACTGGGGCACTGCTGTCATTCACCAAGGTCAGCACTCAGACACTTACGGAGCCCTGACATTCACCCAAATGTGCCTCACAGCGTGGTTTCATTACATACATATTAGAGAAGCCACATGTAGGGTCAGCAAGAAATGGAAAGAGCTGAAACCCGTCTTTTCTGGAGAGAGACATGTATGCACAAGAAAAAACCGGGATGTATATTTGGCCAGTTTCACTTCAGACTTCTTAACTCCTAGAGCTTTTCTTTTGCTATTTTGGTGGTTGGCTGGGAGAAACAGATTCTCTGAGTTAATTGCATGCTACCCACCACCCCTGAAGTAGTAACAGGAAGCCGGAGACAACAGTGAACGAACACGACAGGCACGAAGCGTGACCAAAATGGAGGAGACATTTCCCGCGCAGTCAGAGTCCACAGTGCTGTGACCCGGCCTTTAGCCCATGGCCTTGGAAACATACCCCCGGACACCCAATGTTTGGCAAAGCCTCTCAACACCTCGCCCAGCACGAGCTCGGCTGGGGGGCTCACCTCTCCCTCCATCCTCACTCACTGACAGGACTGTCACGTCCCTGCTCTCGTCACAATGACAGGCACCCCTGCTGTGGTTATTTACGTACTGCTCTGCGCTCTTCCAAGAGAGCAGTCTATGTGTTCTTTAAGAACAGAAGACCATAGCTGTCTGGTTGACCATAATTATATACATGTCCAACACGTAGACAAGTGAACATGAAGCAGGCATGTATCTGTGGGCCACGGGACGAGCACTGAGAGAGGGTGCTGATGCTGAAGACACCCATTTCTGTCCCACGTATGCTAAATGCAGCTTTCACTGCAGCACAGAAGACATTTTTAATAGCACCCAATTAAAGAAAAACTTACGCAACTCCATGGGGAGCATCCGCCTGTACAAAGACTTCAAAAGTAACTTTGTCATCATCTATAAATCCTTTCTCAGGATCAGTCACTTCCTATTAAAAAGAAAAAAAAAAGAACATCCAACTTGCATAAGAACATTCACTCACTTCATTCCAAAGAAACAATTACACAAGAAATAAGTCCCCTGTACTTAATAGATTAAAATACTACTTTTTAAAACATCCCAATTACACTTCTGGTTTTGTAGTGTTTCAATTTGTTTTAAACAGTGGTCTATGAACAAAAACAGCGAAAGCAGAGGTGTCCAGGGGCTCCATGGCACTGGATGGATGGGAGGAAGCACTGTCTGCTCATCAGAGCAGGGCTTGAGAAGGTTCCAGAGAACGAACTCAGGCTAGAGGGGTAACATGAAGCAGTGATAAGTCATTAAGCAGTAACATCCCAGGAATGTTCCAATGGTCACCACTTCTGCAGAAAGGAGCCAAAATGAACTCAAGTTAATGAACCACCCAGCACTACACCTGACTGAGGAAATGGCCACAAACGGTATTACGCCTTTTGGCAAAACCTGGCTTATTGGGAGCCTGCTAATGTTTAACTAAAAGTTGAGACTTGAATCCAGATGGCTGGATTCTTTTTTTTTTTTGAGACAAGGTCTCACTCTGTCACCCGGGCTACAATGCAGTGGTGTTTGCCTAGCTCACAGCAACCTCCAACTCCTGGGCTCAAGTGATCCTCCTGCCTCAGCCTCCAGAGTAGCTGGGACCACAGGCACACGTCACCATGCCCAGTTCAGATGGCTGATAAAAACCTAAGCTAGGAAACTGGAGAAAAAATAAGTTTACAGACACCTGTCCAATCTATACAGTGAAAATCTGACTCTAAAACGATTAGAAGGATTTCAAGAAGCAAAAGAATTAAGGGAACAAGATGTGCAGATTATTCAGACTAAATACACTATTACTTACACTCCAGGCCATAAAGTTGGAAAATCCCCAATCGTTTTCTTTATGGAAGAACAAATGACTAATACGACGACTGAAAGACTTATCATCATCTCTGTAATTTATTATCTTCAGCACTGCTTGTGCGTGACAAGACCATGACCTGTTTAAAAAAACCAACAATCTAAGCCTTAGTGCACACTTTTAACTGATGTTTATACACTTTTAAAGACGCTACGAACGAGCACACCAAAATTCCCACTTGTGTCTTTTCTTGTTCCTTTTTTGGACTGGGGCGAGGGGAGTGAAGGTGAGATGGGGGCATATTTACCTTGAATATAGTGTTTGGGGGATGCCCCAATGCAGTCTGTAGTGATTTAACCCATGGTTTTAATTCCTAAAAAAGCTTAAAGCCAAATTTTTCATTGTATCTATACAAGTTTCTGAGTTATGAACACTGATTGTAGATTTCGAGAGAACAGCAAAGAAAGAGTGGACAAATAGTGAGCCTCAGTTCTGATAAAGGTGTCACTTGTTAGCATCGCTTCTGCTCCTGGAACTCACAGGGACCGTGCCTCTCAAGCGCTCTTGGAATGCCCTCCTCCAAACGCTGGGGAAGGACCGGCACCAAAACACGGGCTTGTGGGCAGGCTGCACCAGGGGGGCTCTGCTACCTCACAGCTGTGCTGTCCTGCCTGGGCACGGAGGAATCCGTTGGCAAGCCGAAATTCATCGAGCATGGGCACCAAACTACAACCACTGGAGTGCTACTATACATGCATTCTAGCATGGGTAAAAGGGACTTTAAGCAAAAATGCTGAAAAACCAAACATACACCATTTTAAAGCCAATTAAAGGTTTGCAATTAAAGTAGGGCTTTATAAACAAATGTTACTATTGAACTCAAATAGTTAGAGACTTTTGAGCAGTGTCATTTGTTGCTTGCTCAGGATGCTTACACTGTTTTTTTTTTTTTTAAGACAGTGTCTTGCTCTATGGCCCAGGCTAGAGTGCTTTGGGGTCAGCCTAGCTCACAGCAACCTCAAACTCCTGGGCTCAAGGGATCCTCCTGCCTCAGCCCTCCCAAGTAGCTAGGACTTACAGGCACATGCTACCGTGCCTAGGCAATTTTTTCTATTTTTAGGAGAGACGGGGGTCTCGCTCTTGGCTCTGGTTGGTCTCGAACTCCTGACCTCAAGGAATCCTGCCCCCTCGGCCTCCCAGAGTGCTAGGATTATAGGCATGAGCCACCTCGCCCGGCCCACACTGGATATGAACAGCTCACTCTGCCCAAGCTACAGTTGAGGTTAACATTGTCTATTAGGCTAAAACAATTCTAGCCCTAATACGCATTGGATTACACCATATTGTGATCAGGAAAAAAAAAAAAAATGTGTCCTATAAACAGGTCCTGGCTGCATAATAAAAATGGCTTGGTACTTCTTAAACATTAAAAGAAAATGCATTGTATTCCCTGGGGCATTTACAGAACAGCCAGAGCCATCATCCTTTTGAGAACATTTTTATTGAGGGCTCCGAAGGGCCACTATCTGGGGGTGGCAGGAGAATAGGACAGATGTGATCCAAACGAGCAGCTTCTCCTGGCTCTTCCACGTAAACAGAGTGACAAAGTGATTTACACTCCCCTCAAACAATCTCTGTCAACTGGGCTCTTGACAAAAGTCGAATAGTTAACAGTTACTGTTACTGATTACAAGGCAATTCATAAATGTTCGAGAATGATTCAGTAAGTATAAAGTTTGAAATACTCATGAAAATGTGACAATTAATCTTTGCTTTCATCTAAAGAGGGACCATCAAGATTTTTCTCAATATTAAGAAACTGTGTAATATACCTTTGTATCATATAATAATGTATATCTCCTTTAAGAAATCACAAGAATTTTTAAATGTTCCTAAAGTCAGAGGCCCATGTTGTAAATCCCTCGAAGAATGTGGTTTGTTTTTTTTTTTTTTGGACTTACTTAGTGAACCACAGGAAATGGTATCACACAACGAAAAGGATGTCTGACCAACAACTACACTCTCCCAGTCAGGCAGCTGCCACTGGTAGGTAAGAATTAAGCCCGGCAGCTCAATGGTCAGCTAGTCCAGGCGGGCCCTGATTCCATGGGCTGGTAGCGTCTAACACACGATCTCTACTTTCTTATTTGCCAGACAAAAATAATACTTTTCTTGTCTGGATCTTATACATACCAGTGGAAAACACCTAATCTAATTTAAAATCAAAGGGCTATACAGAGGCAGCAAGACAGTTTAAAATGAAATTTGACTTAGGCTGATCAAATTTGGCTTCTAAAAATATAATACAACTATTCGTGAATTTGTAGTTGCATCATTTAAACGGTCTTACGTGGAATCAGATTCAGCATTGCACTGTAGAAAGAATCCCACGCTTTTTTGGTGTGGTCTGTCTGGATAAAAGCGTGGCATCACCATAATCTTCCATGGCAGATTTCGCACAAAACATGGAGGGCTAAGGACCGACTCACTCAGTCTGCTGAAGCGCTCGACAGTGAACTGAAAGGTTGCCTCGGAGCGCCAACTGGTGTCTGCAAGAAAACACGTCATCGATCAGAGCCCAGGCATCGACAGAAAGCACTAGCATAAACTGGAATAAACTGTTCCACACAATCCTGATCTAGCTGCTAAAAAACCTAACACTCTGGAAAAATTGGTTCCAGTTTACTATAAGCTTAAAAATGTGAAATGACATATAGTTTCTGAATGAACGAATCCTTCCTTATTAAATCTAAAACTCAGAGGGGGCTAAGGACACACACACTTGGCCTTTCGCCTTTAGACTTCGGTGTGGTAAGAATGCCTACTAAATCCTAATCCCCAAGTAATCCTGGGTGCCAAGTGAGCGGGGAGACTTTGGGGAACGGGAACGAAGCGGCTCACACATGTGTCTGAGGACAGTACGTGTGGAGGGTAAGACCTGCGACTCGGCCTGAGTCTAGAGAGGGGACGAGCGGGAGTGGCGAACGCGCAGGCGCACAGCACTCCAGAGTGGGTGGGGAACAGCCACTCGCCACCTGGAAGGACAACACTGCTTAGAGGCAAGAAGATGCCTACGAGTCAACCCTAAAAACAAATGTCAACTTCATTAGTTCACAACTGTTGTCAAATACCAGCCTGGACTCCCTATGAGAGATAGCTTTTAAAAAAAAAAAAAAAAAAAAGCAAAGAAGGGAAGAGGGGAGGAAGGGAGGGAGGAAGGAAGGAGCTGGTATCTCTACTCCACATGAACAGTATAAATTGTTCCATGTTAGTAAGGCGAAAGGCAGATTTAAGAAATTAAGGTTTCTGCCAATACAGTGCCTCTTGGAAGCTGAGGTTCAAATGAAGGTCTCGGTTTTAAAATTCCGATGATGGTGACTACTCATTTTCAAGTGGCTACAAGTCAATCAGCTTTGATACACCCGGTATGTCTCAGTGTTTGCTTCCCAAACTACTGCTGTGAAGGAACAGCCCTCCCATAACCACGCCGTCAGTCTCTTACTGACCAACACTTTGATAAAACATAGTGAAATTGCCGCAGCAAGGCTGGACTGCTACGGAAGTCGGTGAACGCTTTCTTTCACTTTCTGTGCCCGTCTCACTGCTGACTGGGAACAGGTCACTGGCCATCAGGAGACCAGGGCTCCAGTGCCAGGCCACGTTCTCAGTCATAAGCAGTCCCTAAAAGGCCGTTCCTGGCTTAGAATCAGATGCTATTCTGATTGTCTCTGACCCTCAAGCTCCCACGGCACAAAATGAGACTTGCAGGCTTGTGTGACAAGCATGTTAATAACACACTCCCGTCCTTCATCCTCAGACCACCAGAGGCAGTCACGATGGGATCCGACAATGCTTCGGACTCCAGAGTTCACTAACAACTGAGTTCTCAGTATCAGCCACTTACTTAATAGTGTACTCAAATTGCTGGAAGTTTGCCACTGAGTTTGCTCTTAAGAAAACATGTCCATCAGTCCTCACCAGAGGGTAGTATTCTTTACCAACTCAAGAAAAATCACGAGTATGTGTGACGGTTAGTGCTTTTACCTTCTTCACACGCTCTTCATCCCACATTCTTTTGCTCCCCATCACCCTGCCCAGTGGCTTACAGCAGAGGCACTTCGGAAGGAAGAGCAGCTGAAAGAGGTGCGTCTCAGCTAAGAGAATTATTCACTCAAACCTCTCCAGTGCTAGGTGTGACCCTAATCCCTTTGCGGGATAAAAGTCTACTAAAAGGCAAGAAACTTGTTTGAGATAATGATGTCGAGAATGGCTCAGGAGAAAAGTTTTGCCTTGTGTTTTTATGGAGACAAAGCACAGCTGAGCAGCACTTAAGTCCTGTAAGGTAGACAAGGCAGATGCAACTTAATTTCTACTTTTTAGGTGAGGAAACTGAGGCTCACTGAGGTGAAGTGCCATACAAAGTGACAAAAGCAGATTTCAATACCCAAGATTTGCTGAGACACTAAGCACAGCGACCCTGCCGCCCTCTGGTTTGTGAAATGCCACTTCTGTAGTGTAACATAACACCCCACAAAACGCAGAGCAGCAGCACAGCACATACACAGAACTGTACGGAAAAACCGGCTAATACAAAACCAGCCCAGGATTCAAAAAGTTCTATGTCAGGAGGTTACCCCCTCTCTTCTAACCCCTCTATTTTACGTAATTCAGCTCTCTGTAGGATTAGATTTTATAGACACAAAATCAAGACATACTATAAATGCGTTTTTGTTCTTCCACCTTACACTTTAGTAAAGTTCCGTAAGTATTCTTTGAATATTAAACAGAACCAAGCAAGGCTGAAACGCAGCATGGCACTTATGCTATTAGCTGGCCAGCCCTGCCGACGTCACAGTGCACTCATCTTTGTGCCTCTTTCTGGGCCTGGCACAGCCCTGGCACACGGTGGTTAGTTCAGATTTGTTGAATTACATAACCAGATTTCTGCCTCACACTCAAAGCACATTTCTTCTATCTTACAAATTCTGCTAATCAGGAAGTTTAGATGAGACTTCATGGGACTAAAAATTTCACCTCAGTGCCTCCGAACTCTTCATATTAATAGAAAAATTGAAAATTGATATTAAATACCAAGGCTCAAGAGACAAGGGCCTAGGACAAGAAGCAGAATTGAAACCCATCATCAACAGATATGGCCGGCCTGACCATCCTCCTATGAGGAGTTACATGAGACCGACCGAGGGAAAGTTGTCTGCCCAAGGAAATAGTTACAATGGTACGCGAGATCCTGTGTACTGTTTCTGCCATTTCCTATGGGTCTACAATTATAAACATTTTTAAAAATTAAAAGTGCACTGGGGATTATGAAGGATACTCCATACCCTGCAGAGAGAGAAATCTGCCTGGATGCCACTGGAGTGTTATTTCCTTGCTCCATCTTTTTGTTGTAAATGACATAAGTTTCTGCTAGCTGCTGTCACCACACACGCTCAGCCAGACTCTGTGATAACCCGCTACCTTCCAGTCCTGCCCCCAACACCCCTGAAGCAGCCACCGCAGTTACCACACAGTACACAAAGCTCCCACCGTGCTCACTCTTACTCCAATCTCCTTTTCACGGGACAAAGGCCAATGGCAAGTACAGAAAGATAATACCTCGGATTCTAGAATCACAAAAGTTAGCCTGAAATTTCCTGAAATGGTGCTATTGTGGTATTTTTATCAAACCTCAAATATTCATTCTAATACAGGTTTTTGCAAGTCCTGGTCAATACCTAGAAATTATTTGGGTTTCAAGAACAACAACAACAATCTAAATCTAGAACCACCTAGATCTTCAGCAGCTGCATATGCACTAAAATGTCATTGGTTATCCATCTAAGGCAAAATGGTGAATGAGAAACTAAAATAAACATATATTAGATATGTGCTACTGTACCATGTTAACAGAATTTTTAACACCTCTCTTCCTCAACTCTGCACATACCCATCTCTCTGTGTTGTTAGCTGTTTAGACAAGCAGCCTCCCTGCATATCAATTTGTTGACAATATGGCTACAAAACAAATTCTAATCCAGTGTTTCCCAGATTGTGTCCCAGTTTGAAATGTTGAAAGGACATTCAAAGAAACGGGTCCTGAAATCCAGAGTCTGGGGGAATCATTAACAAAAAATCTCTTTGGAGAAAGCAATGTATACTAGGATACTGACAGCTCAGAGATGCGCAATAGTCAATAAGTTTGTCTAACGTAGCACACCTCAAACTTCCCAGAATTATGAACACTTCTCACAATGCACTTAACACCCTGCAAAAGAGTGTCCCACGATACATATTGCAGCTGAGAAAATGCTCCTTCAACTAAGACTTCTCCTAGAATGAGAACCATCTCCCTCCCTTGCCCTTTGCCCTCAAAGACATTATCCCTTAGGTCTTTTAAAGGCAACTAAAATTCCAAGCCAGGAAAAAGTGCTATTGAAGATTACTCTACGTTCTCGTATAATATGCTTTTTCCATTTATGAATTCACGACAGGGACATTTCCACTTTTAGGCCCTATCATTTAAAACCATTATCTATTACCAACAATTTAGCAAAATTTGCCTCAATGGTAAGGAGATTTTGCCTACATTGTGCCCTCCCAACAGTGATTCTCAACTGAGGCGATTTAGCCCCCCAGGAGACATTTGGCAACGTGTAAAGACATTTTTGGTTGTCGTGACTGTGGGTCCAGAGTGGGGGCCGGGGGATGCTGGCATCCTATAATGTACGGGACAGCAACCCCCCCCCAACATCTTGGTTTCCTCCCGAGCCCTCCCCCCAATAAAAGAGTGGGGAAATGTGAGCATCCAATTGCTCTGTAGAAACTAGACTGGGAGTGTTCTGATTGGGTTAGGCCAGTAACTGCTCCACGAGTGGCTAAAAGTGATCCCAGACACGCTCCTGGCGCCTCAGACCTGACCAAGCCTTCCCAAATGCGCTCTCTGAATCACTTTTGGCATCTCTGGTGTCTAAAGTAAAACCACCAAAGCCCAACGACCAAAGAGACCACACCCACACCGTCGCCCTTCAGTCTACAGTGGAAAGCGCACTCCACAGGGAACAAAGCAGCGGGTGTAGACCACGCCTCTTTACCTTCCTCAGATATTGCCTCAGCCAGCTGCCAGGGGTAAACCGCACTGTGAGAGAACTCTCAACTACGGCTGCAGTTTCTCATGGAGGCTGAACTTTTGGCAGGAGGTCTGACAGCAGTCCTTCTGGTGGTGCAGCCCGTGACTGACGGTTTCTTTCAACTGCCCCGTTACTCCCCTGGGAAGGACACAACCCTCATGAGGATTGATGGACATGCTTTTTTGACAGAACATGGTTTCATATTATACTGCAAGATTCCAGGGGCTGCATAAAGCAATTACTGGCTGCTCCCTTCTCACAATTTTGACCTTGTGAATGTTTAGGTCTCATAATCTGACAAATTATGAAGAAATGGTCTCGGGAAAAAGTGATTTCCTAGACAAAAATGTCCATGCATGTACATATGCATACGCTCTCTCAAACAGAATCTACAGACCAACAGTTAGTGTGGGAGAATGAAGCCCAAAGCTTGAATCAGCTTTCACACCTATCAGGAGTGGGGAGGGCTAGCAGCTATGACTGACATTCACACTACACTGAGAATGCAATGGAAGTATCTTGCTGCAAACAAAAGGGAAAGGAGAGTAAGATACACTGTTGTTCTGAATCCTGACATGGCTGGAGAACTGCAGGCATGAATGAATACACACACCTATTACGAACTTCTGTATTTTAACCGTCTCACCTAGGCTAGGGAGAATCACTTACCTTGAAATTTTGTAGGCAATCTTGAAACTCAAAACCCAAACAGGATCCTAAATTTTCCTCAGATACAACCTCTTTAAAACTAGCTTCTCTTAAACTCACAAGAACTCAAGGAAAAAATATGGACCAGAATCTGTTTGTGACAGCTTTCCGCCCGCTGCAAGTAAGCAATGCACAGGTACTCACCGTCCTCCATGTCTTCCTCTGTGTTGTTATGCCCATCGCTCAGGGCCACGTTCCCGTTGATAACAGGGTTTTGAGTAATTCTCGGTGGGTCGTCTGTATCTCCAGCTTTAAAGGAAAAAAAAAAGAAATTCCATGGATTTTACCTTCATGGCTTGGATCAAATAAACAAAAATATACTTTTCATGATGTTTAGCCACTAATAAATTCCAAATGTATCACAATAAAAATTCATCCTAAACCAAAAAGCATTTACTAATATATTTAGCAAATACAAACTTTTGTTGCTTTAAAAATGTTAAATGGAATTTGAACTCATGCTATAGCACACTATAATCTGATTCATTCACAATACTTGATTATTCTGCACAAAATTTTTATGTAAAAAAATTTCTGGGCCGGGCACGGTGGCTCACGCCTGTAATCCTAGCACTCTGGTAGGCCGAGGCGGGCGGATTGTTTGAGCTCAGGAGTTCGAGACCAGCCTGAGCAAGAGCGAGACCCCATCTCTACTAAAAAAAAAAAAATAGAAAGAAATTATCTGGATAATTAAAAATATATAGAAAAAAAAAATTAGCCGGGCATGGTGGCGCATGCCTGTAGTCCCAGCTACTCGGGAGGCTGAGGCAGAAGGATTGCTCAAGCCCAGGAGTTTGAGGTTGCTGTGAGCTAGGCTGACGCCACGGCACTCACTCTAACCTGGGCAACAAAGCGAGACTCTGTCTCAAAAAAAAAAAAAAAAAATTTCTTACATAGCTCTTATTCTACAATAGCTACCCAGATTAAATTTAAGAACCTTTATATAATTGATACAGAATATTTTGCAATAGGTTTCCTAGAAATTAAAACTCAATCCTACAGATAATTTTGATCAAAAGGGTTATTAATCATATGCAAGTGATATACACTAGGAAAAAATTTTCAACTTTTATGGACACAACCATGGAAAACATCAAATTGTCATCCTCAAAGTGACACTGGACAATTAAGGTATATATATAAAGCATCTGGAAAGTATTCAGACAAGAATAGAATGGTTTCTTCATTTTAAATGGTTGCTAAAATCTGGCCTGAAAAACACATGTAACAGAAGCTTTAAGTAATGACTGGCAAATAAGGTCTATAAACTTCAATTTTCTCTAAAGCTGACTCAGGTCCATAAAAAAAGTATGGAAATACTTTAGGGTTTAAATAGGTTCATGTTTCCCATTTAAACCCACTCATTCTTCCACGTGGCAGAACAGCTCACTGCAACTAAGGCTGGCCCTGTGCTGCCTCCACACTTGGCATCCCCTCGTGCATCAGACTCTCCAATAGAAACTAAAAGGCTCTCATGTGAAAGCAGGACATGTGCTTTTGCAACAGCTAGGTAGATGTGTGACTCGCTTGCAGGTTTCAGAGACTTTCTGTCATTCAGACCAGCAGGCAATTTGATTCAGCACCATGGATAGCGCCGTCCCCGGCAGGCAATTTCAAAAACCCCAACTATCGGGTTACATCATAAACCTCTCCAAGTATTTTCTGAATAAAATTGTGCTTGCCCTTCCCCACAAGCATCTCAAAACACTCAAAATATCAAGAAACAGATACTGCCACACAAACATTTAAGATCACTTTCACCCAATCTTCATGTTCTCTTAATATATATACACTTAATGAAGTGTTAAAAGCTATTTCTAAAAACAAATGCACATAAACTTTTAAACAGGTCCCTTGACCACTGCGGCCTGACAGAAAAACTGAGGGAGGAGGTTAAGAAAAGGAACTCAGATGCATATATACAAGACACAGGAGAGAAAGAAAATTATTCTTGCTGGTTCTTAACTAGCTCAAATTCTTTAAATAAAACACGTGCTAAAAAAAGGCTAAAAAGTCAGGTACTCTGAAATGTCTTTCAGCCACATCTGTCCTCCAAAACTACGTCATGTCATCATTTAAGAAATTTTATGGGGAAAAAACCCTATGAGGGCCTAACAAATTATGGCACATTCCACCAATGGAATGTGGACCTTCCCTAAGATATGTTTAGTTAAAAACACATAACAAGCAACATATATCACACTTTTGTTATAAAGAGGGACAGTAAACATAAACAAATTCTTATTTCCTTTACAAAATTCAAAAGGTGTCCACAGAAACACCAAGGTGATATACAAGAACCTATTAAGAGGTTCTGCAGAAGCAGCAGTTTGTTGAAGTACATTTGGTACTTTCCTACTATTACACAATTGCTTTAAAACATAGTTTATAGTGCCTCACGCCTGTAATCCTAGCTCTCTGGGAGGCCGAGGCGGGCGGATTGTTCGAGCTCAGGAGTTCGAAACTAGCCTGAGCGAGACCCCGTCTCTACTAAAAATAGAAAGAAATTAATTGGACAACTAAAAAATATATAGAGAAATTAGCCAGGCATGGTGGCGCATGCCTGTAGTCCCAGCTACTCGGGAGGCTGAGACAGGAGGATCGCTTGAGCCCAGGAGTGTGAGGTTGCTATGAGATAGGCTGATGCCACGGCACTCACTCTAGCCTGGGCAAAAGAGTGAGACTCTGTCTCAAAAAAAAATAAATAAATAAAATTAAAAAAAATAAAACATGGTTTATGATATGCAAGCAGAAAAATGGCAGGTCATTATCTGTACACAAAACATTACTTCTAAAATTCAGATATGCAAATGTAAGCAGTTTAAATGGTAGAATTGTAGAATTCTACAAGTGACCTGTAATTCTGACATACAGGTTACAGTTTCATGAGGTCCAGTGAAATCAGACTGGGATTCAAGTGAATTCAGATTACAGATTAAGGAAGGATTTCTTTAGGTGACTTGAGACAGAGTGCTCTTTCACCACATGGCATTAATAAAAATCGTGACCAATTCAAGAGACCTACGGATCGCCATTCAACACCCTAACAGTGGGGTATATGAGTAAGTCCCTCCCCAGGTTTTTGGCAATAGGATTAACTACAACGTGATGACTGGAAAAAGTCTAATACTTTATCGTATTGTTCTACTTAATTAAGCCAGGGCTTCTCTGCAGTTGGTCCCTATAAGGCAAACCAAGTAGAGTTCTACAGTTGAGCCAGAATCCCCTGAACAACACTCCATCTTTTACGGCCAAATCAGCAAGCATGTTGGTTGGGCCAATTTGCCCCCTTCCACCCCTGATTGGCCCAGAGAAAAATGACAAGGGGAGTGGCCGTGAAATGGCAAAAGGTCGCTGGTTGGTCCACCGTGCTGCCCAAGAGGAACACGGCCTGGCCAACAACAGGCCCCACGAAGCCCCTGACCACCTGCCCAGGCAATTCCAGGCTAGCTCCTACCGGGCTGATTGCCCAGTTTAACGTTACTCAGAAATTAGATAGTTCTGCAAGAGGATTAAAAAATTTATTTAAAAGGAGGCGAATCCCTGGACCAGATAGATAAATGATCAAAGTACCTGACAGCCACAAAAAATTCGTACCAGGCTTCTAAGCCTGAACAAAAAGACTGCCTTCTTTCATCACCAAAGACAGACGTGCGAGATTGGCATGGACATGTTTACTGCTATATGAAAGTTGTCTCCCTAAGTTTTATGTCTCTCCTAGCTGGAATTTTGTTAAGACGTGGTGACCAAACATGAACTACAGCATTTTTTTTCCTTGTTTCCAAGAGACAGGGTGTCACTCTGTCCCTAGGCTGGAGTGCAGTGGCCCCATCGCAGCTCGCAGAGCCTCAAACTCCCGGGCTCAAGCACTGCCCCTCTCCTCGGCCTCCTGAGGTGCTGGGATGACAGGCGTGAGCCACGGAGCCCAGGCAGGACTAATCTTGACACACTAATATCTCAAGTAAGATTTGGGACGCCTCTGTCAAACACCAATGACAATGTGTAATGTCTCAAACAGACAATTCCTTGATATATGAAATGTCTGTTAGGAAAAAGTAAAGCAATTACCATTCCAAAATATGCATATCAGACCCAGAAGTATAATAGAAGACAGTTTCTATCACTCATGATTGGTGAGCGTTTTGCCAATAAATCTTGTGACAACTATCAGAGGCATAATTTTACATGTATATTAAAAGGCACAAAATATCTCCTTTCTAGAAACACAACAGGCTCCCCTGCCGAGTCGTGAGGCCTATGCTCCCCTTTCTTTTACTGAGGGTGCCCATGCTTATACTCCGCTTTCTTCCCACTGACCTCCATCTGTGATGTCATAACACGGAACCACTGTCCCATCAGAGAACACTTGCTAATAGCCATGGAAATCAGGTAGCACTAACACAGCACCCGAATCTCACCTCTGGGTGAGAGGAATCAGAAAAAACAGAATTTCAATTTGTTGCCTTGGACATTTTCTGTCACTTAAGAATCTTTATCAAACCTCCCCCCAAAAGGTGGCCAGGAGTTGGGGGACACACCGAACACCACAGTGAGACCTCACAGCCTTCCGACCCACCGTCCGGGCGCGCGTGCTGCCACCAGGTGGTGCCTTGGCCACAAAGATCCAGCTCAGCCTCGCATGCACAGGCGTCTCCATTCAGCCCACAGATTCCGCCTCCTAGTGATGACAACCTAGTGACCAAAACTACGGCTCCGTAACGGCAGAATACACAGAACACAAGGGCCAACTCTTAGTCCCTGGATTGGCCAAATGGGCCTGAGAGCACATCTTAATCCCCAACGCTGCCAGTTCACTCTGAATTCCAACGCAAAACCCCTCTGGCTTCTGCCTGGTCCTTCCTCGTCCTGTCTCCTCTCCCACGACGTTGAACTCATTTACAAACATTACCTTAAACAGAGGTTACCAACATAACTTAGAAAATGGTATCTTTCTACATATAAATTTTACACTATTTTTTGATTTGTGATCCCAAATATATTCTGGGACAGTTTGGAAATGTTGGTATTGGTTATCTAAACCCATCACTAGCATAAGGAGCCCTAGCTGAAATCCCGAATCACCTTCTCGCCCAAGCCTGTGGTTCCCAGCCATGTCTGCATGGCCCTGCAGTGGAGTCTGCTGGGGGCCGGGGGAGGGAGGTTCTCTCATCCAATCAGTGACTGCATAGAACCTCCAGGAACTCTACCTCAGCATTCTTCTCTCTTTTTCTAAAGAATCACATAACATTCTTGTCTTTAGAACCAGAAACAGATTCAAGCAACCTGAGCAATTTAGATAAGCCAAAGCGGTCCAGGAACAGAATGAGGATGTTAATGGGAAAATTCCAAAAGGTCGCCTCAGGTTTGCTTCACAGTAATGTACGAAGCTCAGTTTCTTCCTTGTGACAAACGCACCCTGGCGATATAAATTCTTAACAATTGGAGAAATTGTGTGAGGGGTACATGGGAACTCTTTGCACTAACTTTGCAACTTTTCCATAAATCTAAAATTACTCCAAAATTAGAAATTAATTTTTTTGAGTTTGACAAGTTTATTGGTATTTTAGCGAAGACATGGATCTTGGTCATTTCTCTCTCCTGTATTGATCTTAGGTTAATATTTCATTTGGGCCAAGAAAATATGTAGGAGAGGGATATAATTTTAACAGACAGTAAGATGGGCAAAAATGGATAGTTTGCTTATATTAAGTTAAATTCTTGTATCTTGATATAATTAAATCATGCAAGGACTAATAGTTCTACACACATTTCCATTATTTTACTCATGGCTTATTGTAAACCTAAAAGCAAGTGTACAAAGTGTTAAGAATATGCACAGGCTGCTTCTCTGGACTCATTACCTACTAAAAGAGCTCAGTTAGTGTTACCACCAATAAAATAGACTGAAGCTACCTCCAAATTTAACACTGCAGGAGTAAAAACTAGTTTTTAAGAGGCAAAATTTTATTCTAGAAAGCCCTCTGAAGCCTAAGAAGCAGGGAAAATGACTGATATAAACTTAAAAATGAAAATTCCAGCATTATCATCCACATAGGACATGGCTTAAATTCTCAAGTAATTAAAGGAAGGAAAAAAACGCAGCTTGATAGCTGAAACACAGAAGGTTTCCCACACAGACGCCAGGGGGCAAGTATACAAAAACAGAGTTGTTCAGGACAGACCAGCCAGGTTGGAGAGCTTGCGTCTGAGTTGGAACAGGAGCAGCAGAGAAAACATTCAACATGTGAGAAGAAACTAAAATTTGCTTCAAGTATTTCATGAATCAATCATCCAATTTACTGAAGCCATATTATGTGCCAGGTTCAGTACAGCCATTCTCGGGTAATATTCACAGGCCCTGGGGTAGGGTGGCGTAGGATATTCTCCCCTTTTATTGACGGACTCACAGCTCAAACAGATTACGTCACCAGACCGGGGTCAAGGCTGGACTGGTAAGGGGCACTGCCACAAGAGACGCTAGGTAGGAAGAATGGAGGAAAAAGTTAAGTCCTGAGCAAACAGGCATGATACTCTGAGAAGGCCATAGTTGTTTGACTATATACGCTTTTTAAAAGACGCCCAATAACCTGTACTCCTGTAGGATTTCTACTATATCACACTGTATTTATGATTATACACTTTTCTTCATGAAATTGAGATAACTCTAGGTTCACAAGCAGTTTTAAGAAAAAATACAGTTGGCCCTCCATATCCATGGGCTCTGAATCCATGGATTCAATCAGCCATGCATCAACAATATTGAAGGAAAAAAGTGTAGTGAACATGTACAGACTCTTCTTTCCTTACTATTATTCCCTAAACAATACAACTATTTACATAGCATTTATATAGTATTAGGCATTATAAGCAACCGAGATATAATTTAAAGTATATGGCAAGATGTATGTAAGTTATATGCAAATATTACACCATTTTATAAGGGACCTGAGCATCTGTGGGTTTTGGTATGGGGAGTCCTGGACCAATCCCCCACAAATACAAAGGGACAACTGTGCAGAGATCATGTACCCTTTTCCTAGTTTCACCTTATAGTAGCACCATCTTGCAAAACTGTAATATCTACTGTCACAAACAGGATCCTGATGTTGACATAATCCACCACTCCTATTAAGATTTCTCCGTATTTACTTGTTCTCATTTGTTTGTTTAGCTCTGGGCGATTTTATTACACGTGTAAGTTTGTGTCCACTGCTAGTCAAGACAATGAGCAGTTCCAACACCACAAGGGTTCCTCCAGGTGCCCGTTCATAACCACACCCACCTCCTTCATTAGGGGAGCTCCCCATAAGCCCTGGCAAACCCCATCAGTTCTCCATCTCTGTAACTGTCATTTCAAGAATGTTACATACTTGCTGCCACTGGATACAGAAGTAAAAAATAAAAAAGAATGTTATAAAATGAACATACAGTAGGTGACAAGTTGTTCCTTCTTATTGCTAAGTAGGATTTCATGGTAGGAATGTATCACTGTTTGACCATTCACCTGCTGACATCTGGGTTGTTTTGAGACTGGAGATATTACAAAGATTTACAGGTCCTCGTTTTCTTTCTTTCCTTTTTTTTTTTAAGAGACAACGTGGTCTTGCTCTGTCACTGGGGCTAGAGTGCAGTGGTGTCATCACAGCTCACCGCAACCTCAAACTCCTGGGCCTCCCAATACCTCAGACTACAGGCACCATGCCGGCTAATTTTTCTATTTTTTTGTAGAGATGGGGTCTTGCTATGTTGTCCCAGGATGGTCTTGAACTCCTGACCTAAAGTGATCCTCCTACCTAGGCCCCCCCAGGTGCTGAGATTATAGGTGTGAGCCACAGTAACCGGCCTATTTATGTTTTAATACCTGTAAATCATTATGTCATGATTTATTCAACCATTCCCCTACACACGACTGTTACATTTTTTTTTTTTTTTTGAGACAGAGTCTCATTCTTTTGCCCGGGCTAGAGTGAGTGTCGTGGAGTCAGCCTAGCTCACAGCAACCTCAAACTCCTGGGCTCAAGCGATCCTTCTG